GGAAAAAAAGAATGGCAACAAAACCTTGAACTGCACGCAGGGGCAGTAAGATGGCAAATAAGGAAAACACTAAGTAAGCGATGAGGTTTCAGTGTACCACGCACTATTTGCTTTGCTTTTGTATTTGTCTGAAAGTATCCAAATTTTTAAAAACTAACTTCAAAACCTCCCATGAGGTACATGAGTTCTGGATCCCTGAGTCCAGTCCTGAGGTTGCTGGGAGACCCAGTGTAGCATCAGACCTGTATGTCTGGTGAAGAAGAGGTCATCTGCACAGCCCCAGCTGTGAAGGCACCAAGGCGGAATGAGGTAGTATAACAGGCACTGCAAACCGAAACTGTCAGTGTTTAGATGCTTTCCTCTTAAAGATAAGCGACTTCCTCTGGCTGAGCATGTAACCATCACTCCTCCTCTCTTCAGTTCCTCGTAAGTGCAGAATATGCAGATGCCAGTCCCAGCCAGGGTTCCAGTTTTCTTTACACAAGAAAGGGGACAACTGGCCTAAGATGGCTGACAGTGATAAAGCAAGTATAGAGACTGGCATTATCTCTCTGTATTCCCTCTATCCTGTTCCCTAAAGACCCTTTTCTACCTGCAAACTGGTGAGATGGTGATTTGAGGCAAATAGGTCCCTCCACCTTCTGGGAGCAAGCTGTAGATTAATGTTTTTTCCTTTCTACCAAAAGAAATGGCCTTTGACTTGGTCATTGGCAAACAAATAAACCTGATCATATAAACCTAAGTGGCCAAAACACCAGGGCTGCCCACAAGTCAGTTTACTAAGGGGAAAGAGGGTACATCTTTGCTAGAGAAGGGAGGGGGAAAAAAGCAGAATGTGGGGATGGAAGTGGAGGGATGGGGTGCAATGGTGGGCTCTGGAATAGATACAAACATAGTGGGCTCAGTATGCACTGCCCAGGTCTCTTCTAGGGAAGGCTTGCTACTCAGCTTCAGGTACATGGTCAGCTTCTGCAGGGGAGCCGAATTTAGGAAATATAACAAACACAATACCCAGGTAAAATAAGCAATTTCAAACTTAGTTGGGTGTTCTGTATCTTATCTGGCAACTCTACTGAGGCCACTCTCCTCCTGGGACAGCAGGTGATCACACAAGCCTAAGACACTCCTACCCCATCCTGCTTCCTTCTCTAGCTTTCTAGACACCAGTCCCCAACTTAACTCAAATCTTCCAGTACCTGCTTCCAAAGGGAATGTGCACCTCCTCTGCAACACGAAACGTGTGTGCATACTTGGCCCCCAAAACCCCAGCTCTACCCCCAGGTGGCCTTGACCCTGCAACTCCCCAAAACAGTGGCCACCCCTTGAGCTCAGGTCCCAGTTTTTAGATCACCAGCCCCAGGGGCAGGGCAAAAAACAAGCTGATCTAGAATATAGGGGGTGCTCAGAGCAGTGAGGGAGCCAGTTATACAGTTAGAAATAAAGGAGCTGAGTGAATCACTCCCTTCCCTCCATTTAACTCTAAACAGCCCCCTGTGGTTATTCCTTCTTCAATTATCCCAAGTACAAAATAAGATAACAAAAGCCTATATTGCCATCCCCTAAGCAAGTGCACAGGCACTCACACTGGCACCAAGGGAGATACCTATAGCAGAAGGGTCTGGCCTTTAAATTCTCAAAGCCTTAGTTACGTCTCTTTTTCCAGTTGCTGCTGCCTTTTGATCTCTGCAGTACGCTTCTGTTGCCCAGCACATTTGTTAACAATGACTGATCCTGAGCACAATTTCCAATGATCTTCAATAAACGTAGCTGCTTACTACTAGACACATGCTTGGCAGTTCTTTCCTCACACACAAGAGCCTGGACCATTATTAGCCCACTCAACTGTAACAACCACAATCAGCCTCAGAGGTACTGTGGTGCGCTGACATGCATCCCCCAAAATGTATGGCCATGCATTCTCAGAATTGACCTGATTTGGAAAATATGGTCTTCACAGATGATCTCAAAATGACATCATTCTAGACTTAGGGTGGGCCTTAAAACCAAGGACAAATATCTTCATAAGAGAATGGAGAAAGAGACAGGGAAAGCAAGATGTGAGGATGGAGAGAGCTCAACAGCACCTTAGGTCACTGGGGCTGAAGAGGACTCTCCTGCTCCCTAGGAGTAAGGATGGCCCTCCAACACTTTGTCTGGACTCCTGGCCTGCAGGACAGAGACTAAATTTCTATTGTTTTTCCTGGTGTTCTGTGAGGGCAGGTGCAGGAAACTGACACAAATTACCAAGAGCCAGACTAGGGTCAATGTAGACCTCAGTAACAGAATACAGCTACTGAGTAAAATAGGAAACCCTGAGCTCAGGGGCAAGGAATGGGGGAGGTTGCCACATTCCTACTCCCATCAACATGAACACTGCCAGGAGCTGAAAACCTGAACTTGAGAACATAGTGTTGCTGCTATGTTTCAGCCAAAGACAAGACCTAAGTGATCATAGCCAACTGTCAAACAAAACTGAGGGACTTCCTACAAAATAAATGTGTTAAAATTCTATCAGGTTCATGCCAGGTCCAGGATGCTGGGACAGCTATACTACGACAGAGGGAAAGGACAAGCACACAGGCTCTGGAAGGGTCCTTCTAAAGGACACCATGGTGACAGATGGCAGCCCTCCAAGGGTCTGAGTGTTAGCCAGTGTCAAGGCTTTTTCTTTCTATTTTGAGACAGGGTCTCACTGTATAGTCCAGGTCAGTCTTGAACTCACTTGTAGGCCAGGCTGGCCTCTACTCATAGCAATCCCCCTGCCTCAGCATCCACAGTGCTGGGGGCACTGTGACTGGCTTAATGCTCTGCTGTTGCCACCCTGAAGTTCTTAATTTTTGGACAAGGCACCCTACATTTTTCTTTTAAAGTGAGCGCATATTAATAATCAGTCTTGCTCCCAGCCTGGCATTACTCTGAATGCACCTGTGTACTGGCATTCCTACTGTTAATTTTTTACGGAGCCAACGAGGTCAAGTACAAAGTCAATGTGTGAGGAAAACAGAAAGTGTTTTTTAAAATGTGGTGTCTATAATTCATGATCTATAAGATTCCAACCACCAGATCTATCTTTGGGTTGACAAGTCCCCCCACCATGCTACCTCCATGCTGATAACTCCATGTGCTTCATCTTGTCACAAATACTGAAAACCAGGGTGTAGGGCAGAGGGCGCTGTGTGAAACCACAGCCCACTGCAGCATGTTCCTGAAAAACTATTTCCTGATGGAAAGGGCAAAAAAGCATCCTACAAAAAGCAATACAGAGTGTGTTCCTACCAAAAACAGTAGAGCTTTTGACAACATAGGATCCTTTCTTTCATACCCTGCTTCTCCCTACCCTCAATGGGGCCAAGGATTCCCAAGACGAAACCAAATCCACAAGATCAGTGTTTCAGTGGCCAGGCAAGCACCAGTTAGGAGCACCGTGCAGCCCTCTAAGGAGTCTAACTAGCGGTCTGTTGGGCCTTAAACCTCCCAGGCCTGACGGCTTACGGACGTACATGGCACACAGAGACCTTTACACACTCTTATGTGCACACAGAAGGTACTCACACACATGCACACAAACACCGACATGCTCTCAGGTGCGCACACATGGGTACTCACACTCAAGCACGCACACAAAGCACTCAAATATTACATTACAAGGGGCTGGGGATTTAGCTCAGCAGCACAGCATCTGCCCGGCAAGCACAAGGTCGTGAGTTCGGTTCCCAGTATCGGAAAAAAACCCCAAAAAACAAATATTACATTACAAATATAGGCACTCTCATATGTGTACATGCATGCACAGAAACACCTGCACACAGGCATACACTCCTAGACTCATGTGCCCTCCCCCCCATACATATGGTATTCCAAGCATGTATGTGCATGATACACAGGGCACTCACACAGAATCACATGTACACATCTTGGCATAGTACTCCAACAGGCTACATGTGGCACACTGTCAGGCTATGCTGGTTAACAGAGCTGGTATTAGGCAAGCCTGTGTCAGATCAGGATGCTGTGAGCCTGAGCAGGGACTCAAAGCACTCAAGTCACCAGAAGGAGCAATGGATTCAAAACCAGCTTAAGGCCTGTTTTAAACAGTAAAACCACCAAGAAAAGACAAACACGAGAAAAATGTGGTACTCAGATTACAAGAAAAATGCTTGTTTACAATGAGCTAAACAACAGTGCAAAGCGTCACCAGGCTCAGCCTCTAATAGTAGTAAGCATTGAGCTGGGTAAAGTGACCCCTCCATACATGTCCTCCAGTGAACTAAAGTGACCCCTCCATACATGTCCTCCAGTGACTAAAAGCACCACGTAGCGAGTAGTAGTTTGCGGTTATCACTGGTAGTTGCTGGTTATCACTAGTAGTTACTGGTAGTTTCTGGTTGTCACTGGTTGTGATTATGGTACCTTCAGTCATTTGAAGACACCCACTGAAGAAATAATTTGACTCCCAGATGAAGTTGAGCAAGCCAATGCTGCCTCATAGCCTAAGTGCCACATTTTTAACATGTCTGCACCTTTTGTTGATGATTTTCCTGTTTAAAACAAACCAGTAGATAATTTATAAGATGGAGCATATGTCTTTTCTTCTGATATAAATGACAAAATGAAGAGCTGTTCACAGCTATGTGCAAGTCACAGGTTCCCCAGAAGGCAAAGGCCTGCCTATTGGACATTTAAATGGTTCCCAAAAAAAGCCAGCTGGACAGAGGCACCAAGGGGAAAGTCGGTCAATACTCAGAGGTGACCAGAGCTCAGGTATAGCCAGCATCACCTGAATCACCTGGGAGCCCTCCATCCCATCAACATGTACTTTTTGTTCAGTCATGCCTCAACTGAAGGTGGAAACTGGGCCCACAACAGCACTGAGGAAGCCACCCTTGGGAAGATGTAGAAGCATGGAGCATCTGCAGCCTCCATCCCTGCCCTCCTCTGCTGCAGCCTGACTCTGAGTGGCAGGGCCTGGGCTAGAGTCCCGGTTATATAGCTTTACTCTCTTTACATCTGAGGATCTCACCAATGGGATGAGTGGTTTATTTTTTTTTATTACACACAGTGAGCTGAAGAAAGAACAACAGTGACTTCTGTATAGCAAATCACATTTAGATACATGGAAAACTACTGAAAGTTGAACAGCAGAAGAGTCCATGATACCACCAGTAGCTTCATCACCTATCTCAGATCACACACCTCACACAAATGCTCACTCTTCTACAGGCCCAGACAGGCAGCCTGAAGTCTCACCCCTATCCTTGCTCTGTTCTGCCATGGAGGTCCTGCTGTGTCCCACTACCTCCAGGTTCTGCCTCCCATTCCTCTGCTTTCTGGGATTCACATCCAAATCCCAGGGTACTGTCCTCATCCTCATCCTCACTCTCCTCACCCAAGAGGAAACTTCTGGGGGAGGTGTCCTGGTCCTCTTGTGGTGCGGCCTTCCTTCTCCTCATCCACTGTGGCAGCTTAGCCATTTGCTTCTGCCCAGGTGGAACCAGGCTCGTGTCCTGGAGTCCTTTCTCCTTCTTCCGTTTGTACTCCATTATTTGCCTGTTGAGTGCATCATGATCGATCCCACACAGATAAGAGTGTGCAGCAGGTCCTGAGGGGTCATGTGGTGATAGGGCATCAGGATCCCTGGGAGACAAAAAGAGCCTTTGTATGGAGCACAAGCCAAGCCCCAAACCAGGGTGAAATGCCACCATGGGGCACACCTTACATCTATGCACAGGTACACACTTCCTCCTAAGCATTTATGTATCTGAAGTGACTGTACATAGGATTATGGGAAGGGGACTCCAGTTGTGGTTCTCCAACATAAGAACCAGCCAGCAACAGTCCTGTGCAATCATTCAGCATGGTCACTAAATGGCTTTTCAATTTTTCTCAGCTAAGCATGGCTGGTGCATCAGCCAGTGAAAGAAGCATAGATGGGCCTATGAGTGCTGTCACTTAGGATACTGATGCACGGCAGGCCAATTCTCTTGGAAGCAAAACTGAGCACAGTTACGTCATCCTCTGACTCCCCAATGCTCAGCTCCAGAAAGTCCCCAAGCTCCTGGTTTGACTCCCTGATCCTTCTCCCCAATGCTGGCCCCTACCAGTCAGGATGTGCCAGGCTTGCAATGGCATGGGGTCTTTGCTTTGGCATCTGTAGGCTGGTTAAACTACAGGCTTATTGCTGGGGGTCCAGGTGCCCAGGGATATTGATGCTATTCATGCTTTGGCTGTCCCATGCCTGAAATAGTGCCTCTTCCACAAGAGCATCTCTGTTCTCCAGATTCATACCCTCCCCATATTGTTTTCCTTAAAACCTTCCCTCATTCCCACCAGTCATTTGAACCCTTTTCTGCACCTTTCTTCCTAACTTCAATGGACTCATCTGTGACAATCAGCCTCCCCTAGCACTATGCATGCTCCATACCAGGGACCACTCCCTGATGCTCACACCTGCATCGAAGACCTGCAGCAGGGCCTTGCATACAACAAGCACTCAGTGAAAATGCACTGAGCAAATGAAGAGGGGGTAAGCCCCGCTCCTTGCTAGCTGAGTCATGGCTTTGAACCCATGAGCCAGTACATGTAGATACCTGCTGGGCCCAGAGTAAATACCAGGGGGACAATATGGCTCATCAGGACACAGGCCATACGGCTGCTATGAAAAACAGCGGTTCTGTCTAGGGCTCTACCCCCAGGGAACAAGAACACACAGTCATACCTGAAATGACCTTGTGCCGAGTTGTCTACTTCATCTATGGGCCCAAAGTCAGCTACTGCCAGCAACTGATCAACCTGAAAAGAAAGCAGAGGGGAGAGGTAAGCTATACCTCCCACTCAGTGTCATACTCTCTGACACCGGCCCAACCACTGGTCTGGTACAGACTTCACCTAATTCTTTCTGTGGATTCTTCCTCTGCACTGGGACCTGCTCTATAGCTTGAGCTTTCAAACACTTTACTATTATTTTAATATGTCACATTTTCTTTGATGTGTAAAACTCATAAACTTTGGACAGATCTATGAAGAACCAGTTAAATATCAGTTCCATCAAATAATAGGTATTCATGGAAACAATCTGGACTCTCTCCTCAGCTCTTGAAACTCACAGGGAGGGGAACTAGCTCACCAGAAACAAATGTCCAGGGCTGGGAGATCCAGGAAAAAATGGCTGTGGAGCCCATGGTCTTTGTAAATTGCAAAAATGTGGGGTTTTACTCCAAGGGGACTCTTTCCACAGAGCAGGCAACAGCAGGAGAGGGATTCACATGCAGGCACCTGCTATGTCACCAGAGTGCACCATGCCCCATTTGGGGAAGGGGTTGATTATTTAAATCTGGGACTCAGCACAACTAAAAAACACAACTTCACTTCAGGGCTCCCAGTATTACCTTCCCACAGTGACTGGATGACAGACAGACATGGGAAGCAGTCATGGGTAGGGACTGAGCTAGAAAGAGACATCCTGAGAAGTTTAAACTCAGGCCAAGAAGGACAAGGGCCCCATGCCTCAGTATAGTGAGAAGCCAGGCCCAGCTGAGTTGCTCTTAGAAACAGCTGGGTCTAAAAGTGCCTGCCAGCATTAAATTCTTAAATCATTACCTTGATGCCTACATCTAGCACAGTTCTGAGGTCTGATTGCCTTCCCTACTGACCAATGGAAAAAAAGGAAACTGCCATAGCTCAGGGTAAAGAGACAGGCCTCTAGAATATGGAGGGCACTTCACAAACCCACAGGCCAGGAGAAAATCAAGACTTACTGTACTCTAAAGCTGACCATTCAAAATACCACTCATTCAAAAATAGAAAAAAAAAAAATGTTTTTGGACTTTTCTTCTTTCTCTTTTTTTTTTTTCGAAGACAGGACCTCACTGTGTAGCCCAGGATGGCCCTGAAATTGTGGCAATCCTCCTGCGTCAGCCTCCGAAGTGCTAGCACCACCACACCTGGCTGTTTTTACTTTTTTCTCTAAAAAAGAATTATTTATTTTCTCTAAAAAAGAATTTTTTTTTGCCAAACACATGCCAAATGCCTGGCAAGCACAAGGTCCTGAGTTCAATTCCTGGTACCAAAAAAAGGAAAAAAACCCAGAAACAAAACAAAACAAAAAAAAACCCTGAAAAATCCAATAGCCGGTAATGAAATTGAAGAACAAAAAAAAAATGCCAACTAAGAAAACACCAGGGCCTGATGTATTCACTGCCAAATTTTCCAAGAACATCAGAGAAGATCTAATGTCAATATTCCTCAAACTTTTTAAAGAAATTGTAAAGTAAGAAGCTACAATTACCCTGATTTCAAAACCAGAAGAAGACCCAACCAAAAAAGAGAACTACAAGCCAATTTCTTTAATGAACATTAACAGAAAAATTCTCAACAAGATACTGGCGAACAGGATGCAACAAATCATCAAAAAGATCATACATCAAGACCAAGTAGGATTCATCCCAGTGATGCAAGGATGGTTCAACATATGCATATCAATAAATGTAAAATATCACATAAATGTAAGCAAGAGAAAAAAAAAACCACATGCTCATCTTAATGTAAACAGAAAATGCATCTGACAAAATCCAACATCCATTCATAAAAACTCTGAAGAAAATAGGTATAGAAAGACCTTATGTCACCCTGATAAAAAGCCATTTATGGTAAACCCACTGACAAACTCATTTCTAATGGCAAAAAGCTGAAAGCTTTCCCACTAATACCAGGAATAAGAAAGGAGATCCTCTATCACCACTTGTTTAGTACAGTTCTCAAAACATTAGCAGAGCAATCCAACAAGACAAAGAAATAACAGGGATGTATACAGGAAAGAAATCAGTTGTCATCATTTGCAAATGGCTTGATCTTCTATATAGAAGACCCAAAAAATTCAACCGAAAGATTCTTAAAATTAATAATTAAATTCAGGGGCTGGGGATTTAGCTCAGCGGCAAAGCGCCTGCCTGGCAAGCGCAAGGTCATGAGTTCGGTTCCCGGTACTGGAGAAAAACCACAAAAAAAAAAAAAAAATAATAATAATAATAATAATTAAATTCAGTACCAAAGCAGGCTACAAAGTCAACACACAAAAATTCCTGTATACCAGTAATTCACCAAGAAAGAAATAGGGAAATAATACCTTCACAACAGCACTAAGAAAAATTAAATAACTAGGAACTGACTTAACTGAGGAAGTGAAAGACCTCTAAAATGAAAACTAGAGCACTCTAAAAAAAGAGATGAAAAAGGACATCAGGAAATGAAAAGACATCCCCTGTTCCTGGAGAGGCAGAACCAATACAGTCAAAATGGCCATACTTCCAAAATATACAGATTTAACACAATCTCAATCAAAATACCAACAGCATTCCTCACAAAATGAGAAAATTTCATATGGAATCAGAAGAGACCTAGAATAGCAAAAGCAATCCTAGGCAACAAGAGCAAGGCAGAAGGAATCACAATTCTGGACTTCGAATAGTAATGGTTCCTCAGCAGGGCACACATGGGCACATGCTGGGGCATAAAGCATGGCTGCATGATAGGCATAACACTCGGCTCCTCCTGGACTCTGCCAACAGCCCAAACCTGCACCAGCCATTCCAGATGCCCCAAGGATGTCCTATCCTTGTAGGGACCCACATTTCAAGTTCCCCTGGCAGCAGCAACCTGCTTCAGGCACAGCATGTGCCTTTCCTTCACAGGGACTGCTCTGGAAGGGACTCACAATGCCTGTAGTACTGCCCTCTAGCAACAACAGCCAAATATTGGGGAACTCAGCCTGGGTTTGTTTGACTTAGCACAAGCCAAACTGCACTGGTGTCTTGCAGGGACAGCAGCTTTACTCCTTTTTCTAGCTTACCTGGGCAATGTTTTCAGTGTTACCTGTGCAATGACTAACAAAAGATAAACATGTCAAATTATGTATTTCTCTTTTACATAACTAAATCTTATCTGGTCCTCTAGTAAATAATAGTTATCTAACTATAACACTGTAAACACTATTTGCTGATTTTGGGTAAGTGTTTTCTAGGCATAACATACTTTAATAAATACCAGGTAACTACTCACATAAAACATGTATGTATGTACAGGTTTTTAAACTTTATAAGTAACCAACCTGCAAAGCAAGGAAAACAGTGGTAAAAACACTCACAAGACAGAATTCAAATCTTATAGGCTCAATGGTGTGAGGTCATGGAGAGATCACAGAGGCTAAAAGAGGTGAGGGGGTAGGGAAAGCAACTCTGGCTACCTTGACTGCATGCAGGAGAAACCATAATGGGCATGAAGATTTACAACCAGAAGATGTACCTTTGGGCCTTGGATGGGAACCAAGGATTTTTTCTAAAAGCTACATTACCTTTGAGTACTTAAAAAATAGCTTAAAATTTTCCCTTAAAATTACTTAAAAGCCTTACCTCAGCCAGAAGGGCATTTCTTCTGTCTTGAACAAACACTATTGGTGGTACATTCTTGAGCGTCTGCTGGGACATCAAGAGGTGCCTGAGGACAGAGACTACGTAATTCACAGATTGTACCTTGACATTTAGCAGATGGGTACAGTGCTAAATGCAAGGTACATGATAATCTCACAAGGCTAGAAGTGAGATTTGCTCATGTGCTACTCAGGTGAAAATGAGATGAGCACAATGGCTTGTACCTATAGTCCCAGTACTTAGGAAGCTGAGGTGGGAGATCACTTGGGCCTAGGAGTTCAAGGCCCAACCAGACTGAGCAACATAGTGAGACCTCATCTCAAACAAACAAAAAGAAAGATGGAAAAAAGAAGACAAGAAAAAAATGCCACAAACCTTCAGTTAGTTGCCATATTCCAAAAGGACACAAAATGCATCAAACTGCAACTGCTTTTAATTCTTCCAAAACAATTGAGATCATTATAAATAACCTCCTCTGAACATGAGGTGTCACTTGCAGCCCTATGCGCTCCAGGGCTTGGATGCTAAGAATTCTTCCAGCACAACTCCACACTCACATCCCCAGATACTGAAGAAATACTGGGGAGAAAGGATCTTCTCATTGTTTGCATCATTTAAGAATGATGGCCTCCTTAGGTCCAAAATAAGCTCTCTAGCATCTTGTGGTTATACATCATAAACTCTTTCTGAGAAAAAAATAGTGACATTCTCTGACAGAAATTATCATATAAAAGCCAATAGTCAACAAATGTTTATCTGGAAAGGATTTGGGTTAAGACTTTTGCCTAGTAAAGTATAATATGAAATTATACAAAAAGAATGCAAAATATTTTTGAACAATTTAAAGAAATCAGGACAGAATGGGATATTTTAAAATACACAGTCTAGGGGTTGGGGATTTAGCTCAGCAGCACAGCGCCTGCCTGGCAAGTGCAAGGTCGTGAGTTCGATTCCTGGTACCAGAAGAAAAACAAAACAAAAACAATAAAATACATAGTCTATACTTGGTGGAATTGATACAGAACAGGTCTTGCTAAATTGCTAGCACTGGTCTCAAATTTACAATCCTCCCATCTCAGCCTCCCGAGCAGCCAGGATTACAGGTGAGTGCCACCATGCCTGGCTGGCAAAAATAGTTTTAACCTTATAAAGCACCCATTGGGATCTTTAAATCCCTATTAAACTTTGGGAAATGCTGACTAGATTATATCTTACAAGAAAATGCAAATTATGCTTTCAAATTCAAGAAAATGTTCCCCAAAATTCCCTTAAACACAAAATCTTTAATTAGAAAAATTTAAGTCTACCCACAAGTAAAACAGCTGGGCAATCTGAGATGCAAAGAGGAAGCAAGTACATGTAGAAAGCAAAGCCATCACCTCATGTATGCAGCACTTCTCTGCAGGGTGGCCTCTGTGTGCTTATTCTGGTCAGCAGAGAGACCTGTCTTCCAGTACACACGGCAGGCTGAGAAGTCTGAAGTCAGAGAAACCTGAGACCCACACCCCAACAAGTTACTTAGTTCACAAGGGTTTTAACACAGACAACCTTCTCAAAGTGAAAACTATAGCTTCCTTTACAGTATCCCTCTTAACCTGAAACCCACTGTTCCTATGGCACCCTGACAGAGTCTACCACCTGCTATTATAGAAAATCAACAGTTAGGGAAGCAGGGCCACAGAAACAAAACTCACCTTCCTGTCTTCTCCAGGTCCTGACACCACTTGGATAATATCTACCCAAACCCACAGCACTTGCTTCACAGCATTTGCTAAAATGCTCACTGAAAACACCCAGTAGGTGCTTATTGTACTTTTGGCTCAATTCCCTCTGAGAGGGCTAGAAGACTCTCCTTTGTTTTTGTTTTGTTTTGTTTTCTTTTTGTAGTACTGGAGATTGAACCCAGGGACTCTGCACTAAGATACACTCTAGGTCCTTTTTATTTTGAAACAGGGTCTCACTAAGTTGCCTAGGCTGGGTTCAAACTTGTGAGCCCCCTGCTTCAGACTAGGATTACAGGCTCTTTGTCTTTGTGCCAAAATGCCAGGTATATCCAGACATCAGAATATCCTTGGACCATTTACTCATATTGGCTGGGTAACTGACAATAAGCCATGGGTTCTTTGGTCATCAGGGTGCAAGTAAACGAGCTAGCTGCCTTTGGACTGCAGCATAGGTAACCTCTATCCTGAGGATTTACATGACTAGACTCAGAACCATCTCTGCTGCCCCAAACCAAGATTACAGGAGTGAGAAGTTAGGAAAGACTGCCATCCTCAGACTGCCAGGTAAGACCCAGGCAGTCAGGTAAGATTTCCATCTTTACTCTTCTGGCCCTGAACTCTACACTACCTTGGAGAGCTCCACATTCAGGTCATAGACTTCCTGGCTCACTTCAGGGGTGGACAGCAAATCTGTTAAGGCTTTGTAGAGCAGGCCATTCAGGGCCCTCAGGCGCACATGGTCTTCCTTCCTGGTCTTCTTTGAGGTAGCCTTCAGGAGGGATTCCAACTTGGATGGCTTATAAGTCTCCATTAAGAGAAAGTGAAAATAGGGAAACAAAGGCAGCATTAATAACTACCACTGACTTATACTCCACTGACTTACCACCAGTGAAGGCTCAAACAAAAACTAGATAGATAACATCACTTCAGAGCTATGAAATGTGTCTCACAGAACTGAATCCTTCTAGATTTTAACCACTAGTCCTCCAAGATTAGAAGTATTGCCAGTTTAGCTCTCTGGTTTTCCTCCAAAAATTAATTTTTGAGATATAATTCACATACCATAAAATTCACCCTGTTAAAATGTATGGATCAGTAAAAAAAAAAAAAAAATGTATGGATCAGTACTTTCAGTAAATACGATGTTTGTTTTTTCTAACTGGAACCATTTATCATATGAACATGTATAGTACCTACCAATATACTAGAAACTGAACAGATGTTACAGTATTAGAATTTGATAAACAGATATTCTAGAAAACTTCAGAGTTGGTAAATTCTCTTCATGAATGGCCAAAATCCACAGTTCCAATGGTATCTATTCCCACTCACACAGACAATCCTCTTCAAAACAGAAGTGTAAGGTCAGGCAAAAGCTTTGCTAACTTTGCAACCACCATGACTATAAAGGTCATTGCTGTTGCTCAATGCTTACCAAGTGAGATCCCAGGGAAGGTCCTTCATACCAAAACTTCTTCCTATGGGGAGAAAACAAAGATTATGTTGGAATACATGGCAAATTAAAGAAGAAAGAGTTACATAAACAACCTTAAAAGGTTATGACAGCACAGTTACATGGAGCTAACTTTGGACACAGAAGCCATAGTAATATCTAAAATGGGCAATTCATCAGGATGCTGTCTAAAAAATGAAAAAGGGGCCAGGGATGTACCTTAATGTGAAAGCTCTGAATTCAATCCCCAGTATCAAAAACAAAATAAAACAAAACAAAATAAAACTCTACCTCCTAAGTGGCACATAAGCACAATGCCTGGCTGACCAAGTGGTTTCCCATGGAGGTATAGATTGACAGTTCTAATACACAGCTGTACAATCTATGCTGTCACTGAACAATTAAGTAGATGACAGGAAGAGCCATACTTCTTACTGCTGGAAAGGGAGATACAAGCAAGCAAGGCAAAGAGGCTAAATGATCCATGTGGTGATATGCCAGAGTGGAAGACAGATGGTAACATACAAAAATGTTTATTACATATGTACAAAGAGTGCTCAAAACATCTATTTTTTGTTTTTTTCAGCTGCGAGGGCCGAACAGACAGACACCTCAGCAGGCGTAAGCACACCTGACACCCAAACCATGGTTTTACAACGCCACTTTCCAATAACCAGGCTCCCAGGAGAAATGGCTGATTATAAGACGGAGGCAGGAGTATACAAGATGAATCTCAAATATTTTACAGTGCCAGAAAATAAAGAAGTCCTAAATATGTGCACACACAAACATACACAGCGTTTTGCTGTCAAACACATGATGAGGTATGCCACAGGGACAGAGGAACTGAGAGGGCTCCCAATGGCCTAAAATGAGCAAGATAAAGCTGGATTATAATCCATGAGTCCATATTGTGACGTAACAAGTAGGAGAGAACAGGTGCATCTCCATGCAAAATTCTAAATAATTCATGAACCTAACTCTGCACTACGAGGCAGGGGCTACACATAGGGACTTCCTCCCAAAGAGAAAAGGACAGAGATGATGAAAAGGGAGTTGGACAAGGTAGTGAACACCTGTAATCCCAGCACTCTGGGAAGCTGAGGCAGGGGAATTACAAGTTCATATCCAGCTTGAGCAACTTACTGACAATGAAAACCTATCTCAAAATAAAAAATAAAAAAGGGGAGGGATGTAGCTCACTGCAAAGATCTTGGGTCCAATCCCAAACACCACTACACACACACACACACACACACACATACACACACACACACAGCTCAAAAGAGACACCTCACAAAATGGCACAGGCACACACAAAATGGTGAAAGAGGCACTGTACACTGGAGACACCTAAAAAATTCATCCCAGCCAGGTGTTCAATGGCAACCTCAACGGTGATAACTGTGTAGACCATATATACCCTTAACATGATGGGATGAAAATGGTGCTTTATCTCTGCAGGGTTCCTTCAAAAAAGTCTATAATCCACATACAATCACGGAAAACATCAGACAAACTCTGAGAGGGCATCCTACAAAATACCTGGCCAGCACTGCTCAGAACTGTCAACACATTACAAAAACAGGGTGAGTGTGCAACACTTGTAAGGCTAGAAGAGCCTGAGAAGACAAGATAACTACATGTGATGTGGTTCCTGGCTGGGTTCCTGGACTGGAAAAGGACGTTAGGAAAGCGCTAAGGAAATGTGGGTAAAATTATGTGCTTCAGTTAACGATGATGTATCGATATCGGTTCTTTTTTTTTTAAATTAATTCCTTTTTTTTTTGACAGGGCCTCGCTCTGTAACTCAGGCTGGCGTTGAACTCACTATGTGGCCCAGCCGAGCCTCGAACTCGTGGGACCCTCTTGCCTCCCCTGCCACAGTGCTGGGATTCCAGGCATGCGCCCCATGAGCAACTCAATATCGGTTCATTGACTAACAGATGTGCAAGGCTTTTTTAAAGTTTATGAAAACAATAAAAACTATATCAAAGTACATATATTTTATAATTACAAAAATTACGACAAACCTTATCCATCAAATTAAGCCACATAGAAAGTCTGCATTAATAAAGAAAGAAAATCCTTATATTTCTTCTTTCCCTCTTTGAAGAAATTACTTCCAAGAAAACAGGCTTCTGGAGACTGGAATGAAAATAAATGGACATACAGTACCACCTTGCCTTTTTCCCTCCTACACCCGCCCCCGGCGCACTGTAACACTTCAGGAGATCTAAATAAAGGTTAAAGGACGGGGTGCACGGCAGCCCCAAAGGCGGGGTCCCGGGGACCCGCACAGACGCCGGCCGCGGACAGCCCGCCCTCAGGCCGCGCGGCCGCGGACACTGCCCCGCGTACCTGGTTTTGAAGGCAAATTTCTTCAGCAAGTTCTTGCTGCCACAGGAGGCCGCGGAGCCACGCAGGGATCGCACGGGTCCCGGAAGACGCACACCCGCCCCGCCGCCCCACAGCGCGCGCAGCCGGGCACCGGAGCCCCCCAGCGACCTGGCCACAGCCAACATGCGGCTGAAGTCGCGCAACGCAGCCGCGCTAGGTACGCTGGGATAGATGGGCGGAGCGAGCTGCGTTAGTGGGCGGGGCTAGACGGGCCTGTGGGCGGAGAGACGCGGAAGGTGCGGGCTGCAGGCCAGCGGCGGGCGGGCGGATAGGTAGTTAGAGGAGGCGGGAAGAGGGCCGTCCAACTGGAGCCTGGTCTCGAAGGCGGAGAGGGCTGGCGCCTACCTGGGGGCTCAAATTGAAAACTAGCCGTCTCCCGAGACTGTGCAAAGCGAGGAACACAGCTTAAGTACTGTGGGTTTCAGGAAAGCAGAAAGGGTTGTGGAGAGTTTCAACCACGTGTGAAGAGCTTTGTCTGCCCCGATGTAAACACTGCCCAGTGTGTATGTGCATTTTGAAGCATTGCCCGGTGCCCACTAACACGTGCACTTCCTATGTGTTTAGATATCAGGTTGAAAATGAATTTTAAAGCGGTTTTTAAAAAGCGGGGAACCGATATGTGCAGAGCATTCCCCCTGTCCTCCTAGGTGGATGGACAGAAGGGAACCTGCTGGAAATAGAACCTCTTGTAGTTTGCGTCTAGATGTGCCTCCAAAGTTCATGTGGTCAGAAAGCTTTTCTGAGGTGGCTGGGATTAAAGGTGTGTGATTACTAAACACTCTACCGATTGGTTTGGCACTGCCCTAAGCTGGGTAGGCTGGATAAAATAAAGGGGGTAGAAAGATGCTGTTAAGCTCCTTTCTTGTTTGTTTGGTTTTTTTTGTTTTTTTTTTTACGTGTTTTATTGGATGGCTTAAAACAAAATGAAAAAACAAAAGTCAGGACAAATGTCATTGCCATTTTTTTGTATGGGGTAATCAGTATCATTTTTTTTTTTTTTTTTTTTTTTTTTGGTTTTTCTCCGGTACCGGGAACCGAACTCACTACCCTGCGCTTGCCAGGTAGGCGCTTTGCCGCTGAGCTAAATCCCCAGCCCCTCAGTAGCATATTAACAGGAAAACATTCTAAGGATATCCCAAAGTAGCTGGGCTACAGGTTAAGATTCAAGTGTCAAATTAAGTATTATTCCACTTAATCTACAAATGAAAGAGTCCAAAGTTTACCCTGTATAGTGTAAGAATTTTCACATTTAATATATAGTGATTTGTTTTTCAGAAAGTGATGTAACTTTTAAAATTTTCAATTATGCAATGACTCAAAAATCTCAAATATAACTAAGAAACTATGTCATAGCTCAGTAAGTGTCAGTAAACTGTTCTGGGGGCTGGCTAGTGTACATTTCAGTTTAATACAGAACTACATTTTGGGTTTCAGAAAGGCAGCAATAATTATGTTTTGGCTTTTATTCTAGGTACTTAACATAGTTAAGGTGACAGTCAAGTATATTTTAATTTTAATTAATATTTAAAGACAATCATAATCTCTTGCAACCTGCATGCACTGTATAATGCTTATATGGAATGAAACCAGGGTAACTTAATTGGTGTTTTACATAGGGAGAACTTTAAAAAAAACATTGGAGGCAATCATACTAAATATACTATGGTAACACATGAAAAATGCAAAGATACCATAGAACTAAAGTAATATGAACAGCACTATGAATTACCTCAGAAAAATGTGACTGATTCTAATGCAAAGCTAAGCCTGCATCCATCATCCTTATCACAATGGTTTATAAAAGCATCAAGTTTCCAGTAGAGAAACTATTCTAGGAAAGTCAATAAATCTTCTGAAAGTTTCACACATGTAAGCCAGGATAAGGCTACAACTATCTTGAAATCTGAAGAAGGTATCAGATGAAACAGTTAAGATTTCCAGCCATGACGTAAAATAGAAAGGTCCTCATGCAGCATATGTTCCCTGGCTCCAGGAAAACTCCATGTGCAATGCAGAAGTTGCCAAAGAAGAAAACTGGAAAAGTTTAGCTGTGTTTCTGTTGTACTAAATACTTTTAAACCTCAGGAATGATGTTTTGCATCACACTTTTTATAATGCTTGATGCCATCTGTTCAATATATGTTCAAAGATAAAGCAGGCATGATTGTTACAATAACTATAGTTCCAGATGTTGAAAGTATGTCTGCTATTTGAGAATCCTTCAATCCAGTGACATTCTGCCAATTGATTTCACAAATGTTATGTTTAGAAAGAAGACCATTTCTGGCAGCAGAATTTGCACTATAGATGTTATTTTTCCATTTTTAAAGATAAAACCAACATGTCCAGTCCTATTTTTGTGCATGGTAATTCTTTTAGTTTAGTGCATGATGACAGACATAGGGGTAGGCACAGTTTTCATTAACAAAAGCCAAACTTCACAAGAAACACTTCAAAGAATCAACAATTGGGATCTCATCCTATTAAAAAGTTTTGTACTTCAAAAGAAATCACGTATAGAGTGAAAAGACAACCCACAGAGTGGGAAAACATTTTAGCTAACTGTCCTTCAGGCAAAGGACTTACTTCTGGAATATATAAAGATACTGAAAAAACTCAGAACCCCCCCCCCAAATTCAAAGACCCACTCCAAAAATGTGCATATGAGATGCATACACACTTCTCAGATAAAGAAATACAAATGGCAAATAAATACATGAAAAAGTGTTCAACATCATTGGTCATTTGAGAGATGCAAATTCAAACAAAACTGAGATTTCATCCCACCCGGGAAAGAATGGGTGTCATCAAGAAATCAACCAATAACAAATGCTGGAGGGGCTGTGGGAAAAAAGGAACCCTTCACTGTTGGTGGCAATGTAGGCTGGTGCAACCACTGTGGAAATCAGTCTGGAGATTCCTCAAAATATTAGGATTAGAGGTTCCATTTAACCCAGCTGTTCCCCTTCTGGGTATTTTCCAGGAAGAATTAAAAACATTATACCACAGTGATATATGTGCAGCCCACGTTTGCAGCAACACAATTTGTCATAGCAAGATCTTGGAAACAACCCAAATGCCCATCAACTGATGAGTGGATAAGAAATATGTGGTATTTTTATACAATGAAACATTGAGCACCTTGTTTGAGCACCTTCTGTGTTTTATCAGCGATAAAGAAAGATAAACTTGAGGCTTTTATAGGTAAATGGATGCAACTAGAGACCATACTCATAAGTGAAATAAATCTGACCTGTATGTGTAAACACCATATTTTCTCCCTAGTGTAAGACCCTGAAAGAGTAAACAAAACCCAAAAGTTATAATAGATATTGTGAAAAGGAAATAGCTGCTCAATAGGAAAGAACAACTGGGATGAGGGAAAGGAGAAAAGAAAGAAGGAAGGAAAAAAATGTATATATACACACACATACACACATACAAAATAGGAAAGATAATTGTACTAGTAGTTTTTATTGATTATTGAAAGGAACAGTTAATGTGTAATTGTTTGATCAATCTTGGATACCTATATCTGGTAATCTGAGCAACTACTATGTTTTTTGTTTGTTTGTTTGTTTTTTGATTTTAAAAATAAAAGGAGAAAAACATTAACAGACAGACAACCTTTTACAAAATAGCAAAAGAACAGTACAGACAATACAGAGTTACAAACAAAGTGGTAGGGAATTAACAATGATTGTTGTATTACATATTGATATCTTCAAAGTGGTTTCTCAGGAAAACAGATAGAGACATGCAATATTGATCAATCAAGGACTCATTGACAGTTTCTTTTAGCAAAGAAATAGAAGACAGTACATCAACTATGTTAACTATCCTGTATATACATACATACAAAATTTCTCCTTCTTTCCCTTCTCTTTGCCCACATCCCAGTTGCCCTTTACCCTTGAGTGTTTTCCTATCATTTCACAATGTCTATCATACCTCCGAGTTTAAATTAACTCTTTCAGGTTTTACACTAGTGAAATAATGTGGTGCTTGCACATGTATGTCTGATTTATTTCACTTATGAGTATGGTCTCTAGTTGTGACCATTCACCTATAGAGCCTCAAGTTTATCTTTCTTTATAGCTGAGTAATATTCCATTCTATAAAAGTACCACAATTTTCTTATCCAATCCTCGGTGGGTGGACATTTGGGTTGCTTCCACAATTTAGCAATTACAAATTGTGCTGCTATGAACATAGGTGCACATGTATGGCTGTGATATGATGTTTTTAGATCTTCTGGGAAAATACCCAGAAAAGGAATAGCTGGGTTGAATGGGACCTCTAGACCTAGTTTTCTGAGGAATCTCCAAACTGATTTCCACAGTGGTTTCACCAGTCTGCATTCCCACCAGCAGTGGAGAAAAGTTCCTATTTCTCCACAGCCTCACCAGCATTTGTTATTGGTTGATTTCTTAATGCTAGCTATTCTTACCGGAGTAAGGTGGAATCTCAATGTTGTTTTAATTTGCATTTCTCGAATGACTAATGATATTGAACATTTTCTTATATATTTATTTGCCATTTGTATCTCCTTGTCTGAGAAGTGTGTATTCATCTCAGCTGCCCATTTTTGGATTGGGTCTTTGAATTTGGAGGGGCTGATATTGTTTAATTCTTTATATGTTCTAGATAGAAGCCCTTTGTCTGAGGGACAATCAGCTAAAATTTTTTCCAAGTTTGTGGGTTTTCCTTCTACTCTGCTGGTGATTTCTTCAGATGTGCAGAAACTTTTCAGTAGGATAAGATCCCAGTTGTTGATTCTTTCAAGTTTTTCACGTGCAATTTGGTTTTCGTTCATGAACTCTCTGCCTGCCCCTATGTCTTCAAGGTTTTTACCTACTTTCTCTTCCAATAGATTTAGTGTTTCTGTTCTAATAGTGAGATCTGTGAACCATTTTGACTTGAGTTTGGTGCATGGTGATAAGCTTTGGTCTATTTTCAGTCTTTGGCAGGTAGCAAGCCAATTTTTCCAGCACCATTTATTAAAGAGGCTATCATTCTCTGAGCAACTACTTTGAAGATAGCAATAAGTAATACAACACTCATTGTTGATTTCCTGTCATCTTGTTTGGAAATTCTGTACTGTCTTTATAGTTTTTGTGTTGTTTTGTTTTTGTCTTTGTTTTTATTGCTCTTTTTC